GTAATATTAAATTTGTTCTAGAATTGTAACGAAATCGTTAATTTGCACTGTTGACATTGATTTGAAAGAGACAGAGAAATAGCAGAAAGAATTTGTTCAGTCAAGATTATCTATCAGTTAAAAATGCTAATGTTACACTTTCAAAATCTTCCAAAACTTCAAGCCAGTGGAGATGAACAATTTAAAAGCAGTTGTGTTTCAAAGTGTAAATAATTTAAAATTGTCGTTAACAAATATTCCACTTTTATTAAGCCATATGCATTGTGGGTTCCCTTTGGTTTTTGAAATGTGTGGTCATATTTATTGTATGTAATTTATGAAATTTTGTTTCTATTTTTTATTTTGTTAAAAAAGTATAATAAACAAAAATTTGCCGTTTTTTGGCCGAAATTACGATTTTTTCAGGGTAAAATGACGATTTTTCAGCAAAAGCTTTCGGCAACGCTGGTTGCAAATAAGTTTTGCGTGCTAGGATCTCTGTGTGTCCGCCCACGTTTGGCTGATGCAGTCCACTCGGATCTACAGCTGCAGCGATTTATGTGGTCCAGTGCAGCCGTTGCATACTTAAATACAAGTATACCACCCCAAAATATTGAAATTGTAATATTAATAAATATTTTTTCTTGTGCATGTCAGGATCACTTTGTGCATCCATCCACGTTGCTGGTGCAGGTATTTTTTACCGCTGCAGCCTTTTGTTTGGTCAAGTGCAACCGTTACAAGTAAGTATACCACCCCATAAAAGTGAAAGCGCAAATATTAATACAGATTTTTTCTTGTGCAGGTCAGGATCACTTTGTGGGTTCGTTCACATTCGCTGGTGCAGGTATTTTCAGTTACCAAAAATTTACATTTAAAAAAACCAGATTTAATTAAATTACACTAATGAAGATATAACTTTTAAATGTAACCAATATAATGATTAACAAGACTGATTGGAAAAAATAGTAGAAAACATTACCAAAAATTTATATTTTTAAAAACCAAATGTAATTGAATTTAAGATATTGAACATGTAATTTTTAAATGCAACAAATATAAATTTTAAAGAATTAATTTATATACATTATATCAATTGCATCTTTACTATTTGTATATTTCTTCATATAGTCCCTTCGAATAAAGGATTTGTTTGGACTCTAATAATTTTGTTCAATTATACTGCAATATTTGTAAATAAGATTTTTTTCTGGTCAGAATTTTATGTGAATAAAATTCTCATTTCTCATTTATTTCATTTTTAATATCTATATAGCATGCTTAATATACCATAAAAAAGTTAATTCATTGTCTATTTTGTAGACCAGTGGAATCTGCTTTATATATTTAGTTCAATTTGTATATAAAAAAACGTATATCAGCACTACCAGACTACTTTTGCTACTACCTTTTCAGAAAAAGGGGATAAAATTGTTACCCGCTTCTCTTTCCTATTTCAATATTTATCTTGTATTATTGAATCATGCACATTTAGTATTCATTGACTAAGGGCCAATTTCACAGTGCGTAGTTAACTCAGAATCGGCAAATTAACTAGACATTTTCAGTACAAAAATCTGTAGTTAACTGCCGATTCAGAGTTAACTACGTACCGTGAATTTGGCCCTAAATTTCGGTTCCAGCTACAAAGATGCACCAAAACCACTTAACCCACTTGGCGATCTTATACTATTCGGCGAGGCAGTTGCAGGAGTTTGTGAGCGGACATACTCTGAGGGCAGCGAAGGTGTTGTTGAATTTGCTAAATCTGCCGCGCTGTCTAGGCTTGGGTAAAAAATATCGATGTATCAAAATATCGATATTTTCCCAGAAAGTAATCCAGAAAGTAATTCCCGGGTCTTAGCCGACATATGTCACTAATTAGAAAAACGATCTTGAGTACTCGATTGTACACGTTAGTACATGATTCTACGATACTAATTTTTGTTTATACATTCATCATTAATTTAAACAAGTAATTTTTGGCAAAAAACCGACTTCAATTCTCATATTAAAATATATATATATTTCATGATCCAATGATCGGATCTAAACCAGATTAGTATGGGACCACCTCTGAGACACTTCCTGATGCAAAAAGAATTATCGAAATCGGTTGACGTGGTCCAAAAAGAAGTATTCCGACGAACTGATAACCTCCTCCTTTTTTGGAAGTCCGTTAAAAAATTAAGTGAATTTCTGAATGATGCCAGCTGACAATAACTGAAAAAACCATATATTGGCTTAATTAAGGGTCAAGTGGAAAGCAAATCGTTTGTACATTAAGAATTTGATATTTTTGTTGTTTGTATATTCACTGTTAACTAGGTTAGGTTAGGTTAGGTTAGAGTCGCTGCCCGGCGCAGAGCACACGTGGGCTGGAACAGCCCGTTGTGATACCACTGGCCGAATCTATCTGTTTCTTTCCCTCCTTTAGTAATTGAACCACAGAGTGCGTTTTATATAGTACAAAAAGTCGAGAACGTTCGCCGAGTTCAAATCGGCTAAACAATCTAGAAAGTACTTGTTGAAAAAATGGCTGCGCATATTGGCCAGGACGGGGCAATGGCAGAGATAGTGTTCGATGGTCTCCACCTCCTCCTCGTCTCTGCAACTGCGACAGAAACCGTTGGTGGGGTATCCTAACCTTTTTCCGT